TAGTCACTCATTTCCTGATTTTTTAAATAATTATATTTCCTAAGGGGGTGAGGAACCTGCTCTCCACAGAAGTCTGCGGTTAACTAAATTCAAAATTAAATTTTGTTTAATATTTTATTTATTTAACTTACTAAAATTAATTTGGTGACTTCATATTTAATTTGTAAAAATAAACTAGGTTTTAATAAAATTTGTTTCAGTTAACATTTTGAGCAGATATATTTACTTCCATTTGCCATTACTCATTAATCTTAATCTAACAGCTGGGGAAAAATTTATAAGCACATTTTCAGTCCTCTGTTTAGAAAGATTTACATATTTTAGTGTGTACTTCATAGGTGTCCTTCACTACACAGATATTATGACTATCTACCACAATAAAGACTTGATTTGCATAAACTACAAATGTTTCTTTTAAAGAGAAAGTTCTATCAAAACCAAAAAATTTAGTTCATCCCTTGCCATCAAACAAATTCAGTATTTTTAATAGCTCCTTTTAGTAGGAAATTCCTCTTTGAATATTGATACTCTAAATATCTCTTATTCTCTCTCAGGAATGATTAAAGTATCAATATTTGATAAAATGATATACTAAAGGCACGTTAAACAAATTACCTCAGCCTTAACACCTTCAAAAGACCCAGTCTCAATTAACCGCCAAGTTCTAATTTAATATAATTACTTTCCTTTTCTAATTTAGAACCTTCTTTGAGTTTTCACATCCGTTTGGCTCTGATACTCGAAATATATGTCTTTCAAAAGCTTAATCAGTAAAAAGCACAATGTTAACTAGTGACTATTCAGGCAGTAGCAATTCCCTCTAAATTCTTGCTGGCCTAAGCAAGCAAGGTTCTCAAGCAGGCCTGGAAAATGGACATACTCAAAGGGTGGTATGTCTGAAAAATACTAGGAACCAACTCCTAGTTCATTCAGTCTTGGGAGTCAGCATCACTGTTCTGGAGTTGTTCCATTTATATGCATCTAAAGGGCAGGCATAGCAGAAAGAGGTACATCCTAGTGAGAATGGCCAAGGGTAATTTCAGATAGACTAGTTAGGATCCTTACTCCAATTAGGCAATATCAACAGTGTCTGGACACCCGCCCCCACCCCAGGATGTGGAGGTGAGGGAAGCTGGCCCCCAACATGCTAACTTAGCCTCCTGTTCTAGATAGCCATCTCTATGCAGTAAATTGTATGATATCCTTTAGTTATATTAAAAGAACTAGCTTTCTTTATCTCCATCAGTTGTAGTAGTCTTTCCGTCAATCACTTCTTCATTCTATTGTGACAACTTTGTCAACTACTGGTTATCTCATAAGCCTATATTGCTACCAAAAAGTAAATGGGGAATAAAACACACAAAAATTAAATCTGTCTATATTTCCTGCCCCTCTTGAACAAACTCAGAAGGCTTATATTTTAAATTAATAATTATAATGATGATACAATATGGTTGGTAGTGTTCTTATTTTTGCTGGCCACTCCTCCATTTGCATACAGATGTGATATACAGTTGACCCTTGAACAGCATAGGTTTCAATTGCATGTGGATTTTCTTCAATATGTGAAATGTATTTCCTCTTCCTTATGATTTTTTCATAACATTTTCTTTTCTCTAGCTTACTTTTTTGTTAAGATACAGTATAAAAATGATACAGTATAAACACTATAACGTACAAAATATGTTAACCAACTATTTATTTATATGTGTTAATCAACAATAACCTATTAGTAGTTAAGTTTAGAAAGAATCATAAATTTTCAACTCCTCAGGAGTTCGGCACATCTAAGCCCCACATTGTTTCAGGGTCACCTGAAAACACAGAAGATATTTCTTTGGTACCTACGCAAGAACATGGACTAGCTTGAGCTCATATCTCAGTGCTGCCACTTAGAAGTTGTGTCATCTCAACAAATAACATAATCTTTTAAATATCCACTTGCTCCAACCCACTCATTAAAATGATTAAAATAGTTATTTTACTGAGCTGTTTAAGAAGAAATTTTAATTTAAAAAGAAAATTTCAATATTTCACTCACTGATCAGAGTTTTATATCCTACCAGCTTTCTTGTACCTTAACTATAACTTTATCCGCTCTCTAACCTCACTGAAAAGACTGACACCCTGAATTAATTGGTGTGGGGTAGGACTCAGGCACCAGAAACTTTCCAAAGCTCCCCAGGGAACTGCTATGCAGCAAAAGTGAAGGACATTGTCTAGCTCCTTGATCCCGGCATTTTCTTATGCTCTCCTCTCTTTCCAGACTATACCCATTGGTAACCCTCAATTATCCTCTGAACAGTATTCTTAAATGCACTGTAGCCCCATCCTCCTAAGATACTCATTCATTATAACCCAAACCTGGGATCAAGGCCATAATGCACTCCATTCCATGGCTGAGCATTCCTAGAGGCAAGCCAAGAATGATAACACTACAACCTCCACTTTCCATCTTTAGATGGGACTTCACCATCTTGTTTCTCTCTTGGACAGCTTTCTTTTATCTTCCCATCCAACCCACCCCCTCAAACTATTCAAACCTTGATGAAGCAGAAAATATTGTTAAATTTACTGATATCTTTTTTATGTTCTTTGTGACAAAATGGAAAATACACATAATGCACATGTACTCCATGCAGAACAATGCTTATCTCAAGGAAAAGCATTCATGTGACTGAACAGCAAGCCATACAAGCTATAACTATTTTTTTTCAAGGCACACCAATTTTATTTGAAAAAATTATTGGCAGAAAAACCACAGCTATTCAAACTTGGTTATTTGACAAGACATTTTCTCAAAAATGAACCAAGTCAATCTATCATTTCAAGAAAAACCATAGTATTGGCTTACAATGATAAAATCTGAGCTTTTAAGTGAAGATTCAATTTTTGGAAAACTTCTATCTGCAACATGATCTGGATAGTTTCCCAAGACTCGCAATTCATACTCTAATTTGTAAGGTAGTTCACAAACATGAGGTAAGTTAAATAATGATAATTTACATAGCAACTTAAAACCATATGGTGCTTAGAAATGCATAAGGTAACACTTGATAAAATAGCCAAAGAACTGTAGAGTCAAGAATTGTCTATACACAAATTATAAAGAACAAAAGAAATCAACTTACTAACTATCAAGGCAGAGTATATTAGAAGTAAAAACTGAGGTGGGACTTAAAAATGGGTAGAACTTCTACTTTTGGTAGAAAAAGGTGAGGAAGGCATCCTAGAAAATCTGATTAAAAGACAGATTAGATAGAATTTAAAGAAATATACTACCTTCAAATATATTCTTACTATTTCATATTGTTAAATCAAACTGTCAAGTGTTATTTTACGATTTTGGAAAGTAGGACCATATATTACAATTCTTTGCTATCTGCTAGAAAGACTATTTGAATGGGAAAATAAAATTTACACAAGGAGGAAGCAGACAGTAACAGTCTAAGCCCTGGGACAAGTCCCAGCTCTGGCACTTAGCTAGGTTGCCTTGGATAATTTTGTTTACCTCACAAAGCCAAACTCAAATACACCTAGTTGGAAGATCACCCTAAAGTCATTCTAACTAAAAGTACAAAAGATAACTAATATAAGAGAATCAGATGAGGAATGAGAATCTGTTACCGATATTATGCTGACCTTGTACATGTTTTTCAAGTTATTCAACAAATTCATGTTGTTTTTATTTTTCATCTTAGCAAAGGAATTTATAAGTAGAAGAGGATAATACATATTTTACACCACTGTATTACTCAAAAAACTCTCTGTAAAGTGGCAAGCAAATTCATTAATATTTTAGGCATAGTGTGCTGTACCTTTATTATTGAAATTCAATCCATAACGACATTGCAAATCAGAAATAATTACAATTTATTTTTCTCCAGATGTTCTAAAATACTGCATTATTTTTCCTCCCAACTATTTACTTCACACATTTCTCCAGTCACCTGGACACCATCTTCTTTCTTTAGACACACACACACACACACACACACACACACACACACTCACACTCCTCTCTCCCTTTCTTTGCCCTTCATTCTAATATCCCTTCTTCTTGAGGTGACTACAGCCACTAGGGGGCAATAAGTTTACAAAGATAAATATACTGATCTATAATAAATTTAGATTTACAAACTAATAAATGTAAAAACTGTATTATCATAAACCCTAAAGCATAGGCAATTAGGCTTGAATATGCAAGGTATGTACTTCAAATTCAAAAATTATCTGAAAAATGTGTTCATAGAGCATATAACATTCAATAAGAGACGGTACATTTTCTCAGTAAGCACTAACTAAAGAAATAGGATTAATTTGCTAACAAGTACACAGTGATATTAGAAATAGAATTTTAAAAATGCTGTCTTAGCCTCAGACAAGAGAAGAAAAGGGGGGGAAACAAAAACACAAGACAGGCACCCTGGCCGGGAGGAAAGCTCAGTTGTTTGGAGCGGCATCCCATGATTCTGGTTGGGGCACATATGGGAGGCAATGTTTCTCCCACTCTCCCCCCAAATCTCTGAATGAATAAACATATTTCAGGTGAGGATTTAAAAACAAAAACAAATAAACAAAAATACAGAAAGACAGAATTTGTAGGGTGAGTAGGAAAGATAGAACTGATTTCTTCCAATGCCTCCACTACAACATGGAGAAAACAATGAATTAAAGAATGTAGTGAACTTACCAACTCTTTCTTCCATTGAAAAGTCAGAAAAAGTGAAGTGAACTTACCAACTCTTTCTTCCATTGAAAAGTTAGGGAGGGAAACAGTATTGTAGAGAGCATATATAGCTTTCACTTCTTTTCTCACAATTAAGGATTTAGAGGGAGGAAGTTAACTGTCACTATTCTTTGACATATAATTTAACCATTTTTGCACAGAACCTAAATTCAGATTAACGTATTTAACTTACTTTATATTTTTACGCTGACATTACAACACTGCAATGCTTACAACATTGACATTTTTAGAAAAACCATCATTTTCTTACCCTCATTGGATGAATATCAGCATAAGGCGGTTTTCCTTCAGCCATCTCTATCGAAGTAATGCCAAGAGACCAGATGTCAGCCACACAGTTGTAGCCTATTTCTTGAATTACCTCAGGAGCCATCCAAAATGGAGTTCCTATCACAGTATTGCGTTTTGCCATTGTGTCCTGCAAAAAGATTACATAGTCACAAATACTAGTACAAAAATACTGAGGAATCTGTTTGCCAGCATACTCTTAAAACTATGTATGTGAAAACCTCAATACTACAGATTACAGATAAAATTGACTATATTCCTAAAATTTCAGCTAGTTATAACATGACATATTTAGGAATTTTGAATTCTAAAATAACTGAGTCCACAAGTAACTTATCTCCCCTATCGTCATTAAAGACAGAACTATAACAAGGGAAGTTACATAAATTAACCCATGTAGCTTTCCCTTTTGAACACTTAATCATTTCAATGATTACATATTATTTTTATATTTACTCAATATTTCTTAAGTTGTAAACAAAACTAATAAAAAATATTCTAATTATAACAATGAACTTATACATTTCTTTTAATACCCCAACAAAGTTATTAAAGTTTAGACATATCAAAACGACACATAAGCCAAAAGTATTTCCAAAATTATTATACTTACTGTTAACTGACCAGCCACGCCAAAATCAGCCAATTTTGCATGTCCTTCTGTATTGAGAAGAATATTTCCAGCTTTTATATCTCGGTGTATTTTTCTCATAAAGTGTAAATATTCTAGTCCTTTCAAAGTGGATTTAAGAATAGTTGCAATTTCATCTTCTGTTAACTGAAAAGAAATATTTAAAAAACTGATTAAAATACCATGTTAGATAAACACTTACAAGAAAGCAGGGTAATAAGCACTCCTTTTTGATGACCATCGAACCTCCAGGAAAAGGCTACAAGTAAAAACTTGAGAACCTCTTCTGGTTCTTTGATAATCTTTGTCACTCTAATAACACTCTTTACTAATGAAGAAAATGTCAACATTAAATTTCTCCTTTCTTTAAAATTATAACATCCCCCAAATCAACAGAGATACTAGTTTCTTCCATGTCTTCTACCAGTGAGGTAGCAATATTGCAGCTATCGGTCCTGAAAAAGTGAATTCAGACACTCTTCCCTCTGATGCCTCCTATTCTTTCTTCTTTAAAATAGGGCACTTTTTAATAAATCAATGTTAATCTTTAGAGAGATAGGAAGGGAACTTGCCCTGACCAGGAACTGAACAGCTAGAAAGACCACACCCAACCAACTGAACCACACCTACCAGGGCACAAACCCATTCCTGATGAGAATAAAAACCAACAGCTTTACATAAAGCAAAGGAAAGGTGAAGGATGGATTGCCAAGAGACTCCTTCATGAAGCATACTCTTAAAACTATGTATGTGAAAACCTCAATACTACAGATTACAGAAAATTGACTATTTTCCTAAAATTTCAGCTAGTTATAACATGACATATTTAGGAATTTTGAATTCTAAAAACACTCCTCCTGCTTCTAGCCAGGGCATTCCTCACCCACCCACACCATGGATTTCTGACCCTAAAAATGAACACGTCAGAGACAGATTAGGAAAATGGAAACACAAGCTTGAGTAGACATTTCTCCAAAAATATACCAATGGCCACACATGAAAAGATAGATGTTAAACATCATCATCATTTGCCATTAAGAGATGCATATCAAAAATCCAACAAGATACCACTTCATGCCCACAAGGATGGCTATAATAATAAATTTTAAAAAAAAATAGAAAGTTGTGTTAGCAAGCATGTGAAGAAATTAGAACAATGCAATATGGCATAGCACTATGGAAAACAGTATTTAGTCAAAACATTGAAAAGAAAAGTTAAACATAGAATTACCATATGACCCAGCAATTCTATTTCTAGTAATATAATACACTCAAAAAATGGAAAACTGGTACTCAAACATAAATGTTCATAGCAGTACTCTTCACAATGGCCAAAAGGTTAGTAACAACAGAAATGTCTATCAGCAGGCGAATGAATAAACAAAATTACAATATATACATACACTGTACTATTCAGCCATAAAAAATGAAGGAAGTACTGACATGTGTTACACTGTGAATTGACCTCAAAAACATTATGCTAAGTGAAAGAAGCCAGGTCTAAAAGGGCATGTATTTATGATTCCATTTACATGAAATATGCAGAATAGGCAAGTCCACAGGAAAAAGAGCAGAGTGGTGGTTGCCAGAGGCTGGGGAAATGGGAAGAAACTGCTTAAAGGATGAAAATATTTTAGAACCAAATAGAGGTGATGATTACACAACATTGTCAATGCGCTAATACACCTGAATTGTTCACTTTTAAAAGGTTAATTTTATGTTGTGTTAATTTCACCTCGATTTTTTAAAGCCCTGACCATATTAAAATCCCTAAGCAAACTGGAAGATGGCTTATATTTGCATATGACATCAATATATAATATCATAACTATAGTATACATGTCTATGTGTATGCAGTACTTTTGAATAACGTGTTAGCTTTGGATAAATGTGCTTTCTTCATAAAAAATTTTTTAAAAGGAACAATCTGGACCTCCTTCTGTTAACTCCTAAAGTGTCAACTCTCCCTCTCCCTTTTCAAATTAAAACACCTTATGATAATTCCAAGCTATCTCTTAATCATACACTCCTCAGTGTTATCCTCAGTGATAATCTAAAAATCTTACTTGATAGATAATGATCCAGAATGCCAGTTACTCAATCAATAAATATTTACCAAGCACCATCTACATGCCAGAAATTATAGCAGTTGCTGGGGATAAGGTAGTGAACAAAACAAGAAGTGTCCTTGCTCTCACAGAGCTTACTAAGGGAGGGATAATTTGATGATAATTTGATAGAAAAGAGTGTAATACAAGCTTCCATTCAAGATGGCCAGAACCACATCAAAATTACAATAAAACTAAGAACTATCATTCAGAACTGTCTGAAGTCTAGTAAAACAGAAGTCCTACAACTGAGGACAAAAAGAGCCAAATCAAGGAGGATAGGAGGGGCACAGGCGCGGACTGGGCTGGTCCTACACTCACGTGTGGCAGTTAAAAGTCAGGAGAGTATCTCAGCTGCGGAGGTTGTAAGGAGAGAAGATTCCCATCCCACCAGGCCCCCCATTCCAGGGTTCCAGTGGCAGGAAGAGAAAGTCCCATGACTTCTGGCTGTGGAAACCAGCAGAGATTGTGGCTGAGTGAGACAGAGGGTGCTGGAGTTACAGGAGTGCCTCTTACAAAAGTCACTTAATATTCTGCCCTCATCAAAAAGTGATGCACCATCCAGTCATTCATACTAACACATGGATATGTCTTAATTGAAAATTATTTGTGCGATGGTAGTATTTTAACAATCCACTTGAATATAAAGGCTCAACTCTGGTATCTGTACTTTAAGACTTTTAACTTCAATTAGTAAGTGAAAGGTTTCTATCCCTCAATAAATAATTTAAACAATAACAAAATAAAGAAATATTTTCTACAACAGTTATCTTAAATTTTATATTACTTTATAAATATAAAGGGTATTTTATGTGACTCACAACTCAAGTAAACAGAAACATTTTATAGATGAGGAAACAATTTAGAGAAATTAAGTGGTCTATCAGATGTCACACTACTGTAAAATGACAAAGCCCACGTTTTCTGGCTCTACAATCTGTATGTCTATTTGCCAGATGTCACAAACATAAATGTATGAACTGGTTTCAATATAAGAAAATAGGGAGTGATGGTCCAAGAGTGATATTCAAAATATTTGGCAATCAGTAAAGACAATGTCTAATGAGAACAGTAGCCAGCCATAATACTAATCAATCAGAACAGCTACCATTGGTCAAGAAAAGTAATAATGGATAGCAGCCATAACAAGCAGTAAAATAATACCAGGTAAGGCGCTTATTTCATCTCAGCATTCAAATTTATATCATTTTAAACTGTGTACCAGTCAAACAAAACAAGTATACTGGTTAATGAACTCTGCAAGTAAGAAGACTCACCTGGCCCGAAAAATAACCTTAACTGAGGACATGATAGGTGGCTTTCTGAGTATTTTATTGAAAACACATATTTAATCCCATTAACACAAACACAAACACTGATCAATGATTTAAATATTGTAAAAATATTTAAATAAAAATAGAAGAAAATCAAAGTACCAAATCAGTAGGTAGGAAGAATAGTTTATAACAAAAAGCAAACAAAGAATCATGAGGATTTATAAGCTTTGTCTATGAAAAAACTGTAAGCTTAGATCTCAGAAAAGTATTCAGAGCAAATATAGTAAAATATTTTAATGTATAGAATTAGTTAGACTATAAAGAGTTCACATAAATCTTCAGAAAAATAATCAAATCCCAATAAGCAAACAGGCAAAAAATGAACACACAATTTACCAAACTAAAAATAGAACTGGGTAATATACATGGAAAACATTAAACTGCACTAATTATCAAAGAAAAGCAAATTAAACAATGAGGGATCAATTATAAAATTATCCCATATGGGTCACAATGTTGCTGAGTACTAACAGCACATGTGGCAGACAGGAAGAGTATAAGCCATGTGTAAAAATGACCTAAGAATGCACAATTATTTTCCAAAAGCTCTAGATAACATTCATTCACTGAAAGAAGCATTTATTGAGCACCTAATTTACATTCAATTAAAAAAATATCTAGTAAACTAGTATGAACCACAGGTGACAGCAATTAATTTGGAAAGGAAAAAGGAGTGGCATCTAAATTGGACTTTGAATTAAAAAAAAAAAAAAAAATTCACTGTCCAGAAAAAGGAAAAACTACCAATATAATAGTGAGGAATTGTACTCAGAAATCAAGTAAGGCCCATTTTCTTTAAAGTACGAAAAATGATAAAAATGATAGGCCAAATTTCAGCCTTCTAAGTGCCAAAATGCAGGTAAATCTTATCAGATTTTGAGAAATAAATGTTTACCTGGTCTCTCTGAAATATCATCAATAGTTGTAAATGAACTGCGTATAAAAGCAATATATATATATATATTGACATTTAAGTCACCCTACAAGCATTTTGTATGACAAATGGAGAAGACTGAGAAAGAAAGGAGACAGGAATTTGAATTGAACAGGACTCAGTAGGCCTTGATCTAGATGTTTATTTCATATATTTTAGACTCTTTTTTGTTTTAAAGAAAAGGAGGGGAGGGAGAAAGGGAGCAAAGTTTATGTCGTCAGCTGACCATCATTTTCCTAAATATAGTTTTATTTCTCAAACAACCTTGAAGTGTTTTTAAAAATTCATTTACATATAAACACAGCCAATTACCAAGAGTGGCTTGATTTCTATTTCACAATAGAAAGAACTGTTTATACCCAATAGTATATAAAATTTAAAGGAGTATCTTTTTCATTTCTATAATTAAGACTTTTCATCACTTCAGATAGATCCATATCCAACCATATCAAAATGGTCAAGTTTATACTGAAAACATCTAGGGGAAAAAGGAAAAAAAAAAAAACACAGGAAAAAGGTTCTGCTTTCATAGAAGGAGGCAATGTAAGTTTTCAGTTTTAAGATGAAAAGTTAGACCCATTCTCAACCCACAACTAACACTTCTTTTAATGATATCTATCAAGAATCCTTTCCAATGAAAACTTTTAACAACAAAGAATTTCATTTGTGTATTTAATTAGGTTGTTTTCAATACATTAAAGGTTTCACTTCTTCCACTGTGCAAATAGAGTCATTTTAAAATCATCTAAATCACATTTTATATTCTTA